TATATATATATTTATATATATTAATTACACACACACACACACACACACATATATATATATATATATATATGTATTAATAAATATGTATATATATTTATTAAAATAATTACTAAATCATCAGCTTTTCAAGTACATCTCAAAATATTTTATTCATTTGTACCATAATATACAGTCTGTCTAATAAGTGCATGGTCGGTATAACCGGCAGTTGGTAAAAGTTATACTTTTGATTTTTGCGTGAGCCGATAGAGGACGCTTTTCTTCTTGACGCTTTGCGAAGGAAAGCTCAGTTGTCGTTAAAGTTCCGTCAGAACAAAGCATAGATGTCATGATTGCCGCATACGCGTCGCGCTTTGAAGCTGTATTCCTTTGCGACATCCGAAGGGACCGAAAATGTCACAGGTAACTGCTACTAAGTATATGAAAAAATAAAAATCTTTCGTGCAAAAGTGGGTGCAGCGGTATAAAGAAATAAAAACGGTCGACGATTTGCCGAAACGTGGCTCGGTGGAAAAATGTACAAAAGAAAACGGATAGTGAACATGTTTTCGAAGAATCCTGCGTTAACACTCGTCATAAGAATCGCTCGCCGAATGAATTCATTCGTCAAGGACACTGCGTCAAGGACAAGCAAAATTGAGAGAGGAAAGTTTACAGATTTCCTATAAAATTATACGATGCCGTGCTTATGATGTAAAATGGCGGCGCACATGTGAAGAAATCTTCGTCGTCGGAAAAACATGTGAAAACACGACCCGTTTAGGCACACGAGAATATCGATCGAGATTGGAGCAACGTAATTTTTGACAACGTAATGAAGCTTCTTTTTGGGCACGTATCCCATGAACCTAGTCTACCTACACCAATAGAGTAGAACAACGGACTGTTAAACACGCAGTAAAGGTTGGCTGCTTCTCAGAACAGGGATTTGGTAAACTGGTACGTGTTTACACGCAATCTGAATGCGGAGAAAACGTTGGAAATCTATAAAAAGTTGCCTTGTTACCATCTGCCAACTCTTGGTTTATGAGAAAAAATGATGACTGTATTCTACAGGAAGATAATGATCCGAAACACCAGAGCGGACTCTGTACTGAGTGGAAGGAAGAATCTGGCATCAATCAATTGGATTTGCCGTCACAGTCACTTGATGCAGATCCTATCGAAAATGTTTGGATATATATTAAGCATAAACTTCGTGGGAGACAAACATCCGGTTTAAGGCAGTTATCTCGAGACACTTCGTCCGACATTGAGACCTTTGCCGCACGAATATACGCTGCCAACTTAGTGCAAAGTATGCCTCGGAAATGTCAGTCAGTTATCGATGTCGATGGTGACTGGACATGTTATTAATGTAATTGCATTTTAGCTCTAATCAAATAGAATTATCTATGTATTTCGAAATTTTGCTAATTCCATTTTTCTATAAATTAGGTCGGCCATGTTCTTATTAAACAGGCTGTGTATATCTATATGCATGATGGTGGAACATTGTATTTGGTTTACTTAATCCTACAAGAGGACAGGACAGGATTGAAAGTTGATGAGAAGCTATATATACAAAACTACATATAATCTATTCTTACAAGTTACCTGTTATTGTATGATATACCACTTAAAATTTCATGTATCAAGATGTTATATTTTTCAGCATTACATTTTTGTGGAACTGAGGTTGCCAAATATATCTTTACACCAACAACGACAACGATTAATATAATATATTTATGTATTGTTACATCGTTGTTTTATACATAATGTACATAATGTATTGATATGCTCTATATGTATATAAGAGTACGCGTGTTACACTTATATACACATAAAGCGCACTCGACAGCTAATATCTTTATTTGTACGATTTTTCTGATATCGGACTACATTTTTTTCACAATTGCTATTAGTTTCTTTTTTCCAACATAAGCAGCCAAAAACATTAACTATCTTTATGAACTTCATTGGTTAACATTCCTAATCGACTAAGAAAGTATGTTTTGTATTGTTTATGAACACACACGCTCTCTTTCTCTGACATTTTCACGAAAATTTTAACAGTTGTCGATGTCAAATATTATAACAGAGAGTGTGAAGTATTTCTTTTTTCTTTTTGGAATCGCTTTATATGCGATTTCATGTTCTAAATTTTATCGAGTGTTTTCGTAGAATAATATAACAGCTTGTTATATACTGCTCCAATGATGGTTATATTGCACGGCGATCCGTCGTGTGTCTGACACTTTCATTGAGAATGTTGAACGCGAATCTCAACGAGAGGGAAATCTCGTACGCTAATTTTATTCTACAGAATACACTTGAGTGAAAGGCGACAATAATCAGTTTGGTAAAAGGGAATGTTTTGGAGAATCAACGCTGTCGAAGAGAGGTAGCTTAATCGTTAAATTTGCGGTTCTCATTACGTCCGAACAGTGCACAGCGAATTTCGGGTACCAATTGCTGAGCTATCAGCTCTAATCTGGTCTCCAAGGTGTTGCTCACCTTTATGCGCCCTGCGGGGGTTCGAAATTATTTGGTATTAATATAACACGAAGAGAGAGTTATGATAAATTCGCGATATAATATAATGCAATACATACAATTATCCTACCAAAGTTGGATTTAAATGCAATTGAAATAAATTCTGAGTTTGTTATAATTTTTTTGGTGGTACGTTATGGATATTTCTTATTACTAATTCGTATTAATAAAATAATATGTTAGTTTACATCGATTGTTTGATAAATGTGCTAACTAGTAACTTTCTATTAGATTAACTTGACATCGATGATGCACGTAACGACGGCATACAAAGTTGACACGATACGTATCAAAAAGACGTTTCGTATCGGCTTAGTACGATATCAAATTGATATCAAGATAATAAAATAAAAAATTACTAGTTAGTACTCGTATCAAATAATGAGTGTAAACTGAGGCAGTAACGTCGTGGTCAAACAAATTGAAGAGATTTCCCTTTGACATAGTTACCTTTAGATGCTAACAAGTCGACACCTCCGCAGCTTTCGCTAGGTAAGAAGTTATCGGGATCAATTTTCAGAGTAACGTCTTTCTTAGTCATGTGCTTATATTGTTGTTGAACACTCTCGAGGAGAGATTCTACAAGAGGTACATCTGCTTGACGTACACGTAGAGTAATATGCGGTTCTGTTAACTGTAAAAATACGTATTATCAATAGAATTCGAAATATTGTTGAATGTTTCATCAGTATTTATTATTGTTATAATAAATTATTGTTGATATATATTATTATTGATATAACAATATTAATAATTAAAATGAGATTATATTGAAATAATAGGTACATACTTGATAAAGGCCTTGGATAATCAACAGTTGAAGAACTTCCCTGTATCGGCTAGTATCGTGAATCACTTCGCCTAATCTTCTTCTGGCTTCGTCTAGAACGTTGCGTACGTGATCCTCACGTACTTTTAAAGCCTTCAATCGTGCTTGATTAAGCATATTTGAGGATTGTCTGCAAGAAATTGTAAATATAAAAAAATACAGATGCACAGCGTTATCTTTTAGTAATCATCTTGAGTATAGTTAGTGATCATCTAAAGATCATCTTCTAGTATTCAGTTTTGTAAAAGATTGATAGACAAAATTTTTTAAAACTTTTCCAGAAATTCTATTCCTGATATAGATATATATATATATATATATATTTTTTTTTTTCTTAAATGTGCGTACATCTTCTTCTGCAGTTCAACTTGCTTCTCCTTTTTCTCATAGTATTCCATAATCTTGAGACGTTGTTGCTGTACCAGACGTCCCTTTTCAATGTTGAATTCTTCCTCAGCCTTGGCATCTATTTCTTCTGCCTTTTCATTAGCCTCTTGTTCTATGAAGGCCATCATATGTTTGATCTGTAACATCATTTTTCACTTTGTTACTTTATAAGTCTCTTAAGGCGATGTATAAAAATTATTTTTCCTTGAAACTGCCATGTTCTAAATGACAGACATAATAAATTGCATAAAAATAAATTTTATTTAAATTATATGAAAATATTTATTCAAATATTTTTTGTTCAAATCTTATTCTACCCAAGAATCTGATGATCTTGGTAGAATTNTGTACATATATATACTTAATATACATATATATATATATATATATATATATATGTATATTAAGTATATATATGTACATATATATATGTATATTAAGTATATATATATATATATATATATATATATTTCAGAAATCAAATTTAATGTACATGAGAAATTTTTCTGTGAAACACCGAGATTATTATTAAAGATATATCAGATATCATATTCAAGTAATAATCGATTTATTCGATTTTATTGACACTTCAATATCCACAGACTCGCTCGGATTTCTCCCTGATTAAAGTTACGATTTTATGGCACGGGGAGATATGAAATTTACTGTCTACATAATGTACAGTATCCGCGAAACGTCAGGACTCGTATTCGCTGGAAACAGCAAAGTAACAATGACAAATAACGATGAAAGTATTAATAGCACGAATATGCACGATATGTATGTTTAGAAGCGAATGTTACGAATCCTGAAATATAACGAAGCTTCTCATTATTAACCTGCTTCTGCACGTCAGCGTCGCTGAGGGCCATGGTGCTTCGTATGTTTCAACTTCACGAAAGAGACGTGCGAAAAATTCGTTCAAGAAGCACTCGGGAAACTTGCAGAAACTCGAAGAGCGAGACACACCGGAGAGAAGTCAACGCCTATGACGGCACATCAATTCTCGCGTAACGTCGATCATATGACCCGCAGTGTGACCGCCGTTCCGAAACCTACACCCGCAAGATCCAGACACCAAGCTCGTAATGTGAACACACCCTGCTGTTGGAAACGTCACCGCGTGCATCCACGTGCGTGCACGTGAGCGCTCTCGTAGTTACATTGCGTTACGTCATAAAGAATTATTCTTTTTCAGCTCGGACATTTTTGTACATTGTTTGCCGTAGTTTGAAGAAAATTCGAAAATCGTCTAACCATTACTACAAGGAGAAAATAAAAGAACTGAAATTACGGCGGAAGATGAGAAAAATACTGTACCCCTATAAGCGCGTAATATTATTTAATATTAAGTAATATTTCTGGAATATTAATAGATTATTATATGTCCACTCCTAATAATATTTAAAGAACAATATTATTTAACGTTACTGTAATATTATATATTTTTTAAATATTCAACTATATATATATATAATTGTAGTTTTTCATTTCAAATGTATTGCAAATGTATTACCCATTGTTTTATTATATAAATAAAATCGAAAGAATTTTGTGTAAAAATATGTTTCATAATAAAAAATTTTTTTGTAATATACATATATATAATATACATATATAATATATATGTATATTTTATTTATATATTATTATTATTATTATTATTTGATGGCATTACACAGCTCATATCGACCCAGGGCCTTCTTTTTCTCTTACGTATGCATGTGGTGCGCGCGCGGATTATTATACACATGCATACAGCACCTACAGTTTTAAACGCCGGTTGCAAACGGCAAATTGGAGAGAGGTTTTTCTTGTCATGAATAATATTCTTGGTGGTTTGCCAGATTACCGAAGAGGAGTTACGAGTGTATGAAAAATTTTTGGTTCTGCCGGAGATCGAATTCGGAACCTCTAAGCATAGTGTTACGTCTACGATAGATAACTATATAGGGAAATTTGAAAGTAGTAAATTAGTGACTTACGTAGACGGTCAACAGAGTGATGACTCCGCTTTTAGGTCAATCTGCTTTTTACCGAGTTTATCCTGGGTCTCTGGAGTCTGGGGAAACGATCGATGAATCTGGTGAGAAATCAGAGCCGCTCGTTCTCCTGGCTCGGTCTCGGATGTTCCGGCGCTGCGCGGGATGATGCGGTCCGCGATTCCAATTTCGATTTCGCAACGAGTCGTTTTCTAATTGGCTGATGGAGTCGTGGAGATGGAAGAAATTCATTCCATCAGTATGATGTCACCGCGTCGGTCCTGAGTGGTGTTTGGATTTAGGTTTCATGCTCCTGTTTATGTTAGCAACGGGATGCCTTATCGCATTGAAAGATTACAGTTTCTCTTGTCTATAGTTGATCCATCGATTTTAAGACTCTCTAACGACACGTCGTTTCTTCGGCGTTATAATTTTAATTATAATATTTAACGTGCGCGAATATACATATGCACGCGTACTTACATCTAGTAACATAGGGATAAAATATCTATACCTAGTGAATATCTAATCTAGTGATGTCTGAAATCAGACAAGTCGGCCTTCGATCTGTACTAATATATTATTAATGTTCCAAAATAAGTCCGGACGTTACAATGGAAACACCCGAAATGTGCTACTAGGGGACCATTCAATTTTCAACCTCATTTTTCAGTTGAAGTTTTAGAAAAACTAATTATAAAGTACTAATTGTCAAAATAATTTGATAGATGCATCTTAAAAAGTAAACTTTAACGTTTCCACTTATTTATTTATTTATTAGCGAACTTTGTATACTTATTCATTCATTTTCTGTGAGCGATCAAAATTAAAATGGCATTTTGGCTTCAAACTTGAATAATTTAGTAAAAAAAGAAACATTACATTATAATTAATGGATACGCAAATTAAAGAGGAAAATTCGCGCTTTTAAACAATATAAATGCCATTTGTGTAAATTTTCTTTCACGAGATATAACTCGATAAATTCCGTTAAATATTGTGAGATTTAACCCAGTAAGCAAAAAATCGTTAACACAACGTTATTACAATGATATTTTATAACATGTAACGTTTTCAATTATGTAGTTCTTAATATTGTATACAACCCAGCAAACACAATGTAATATGTAACATATTTGTTAGTTGCTTCTTGAACCATTTCGTCACCGATAATTTTACTAAAATTACAACCCGTTAAATTTCACTTATTTTCCATGATCGAGCCCTCAATTTTTTGCAGATAATATATATAATAAAATGTACAGTTGATAAGACATTTATCATTTGTTTTAAATTATTTATTTAATATTATTATTTAATATATTATTTATATTTATTTTCCACTTGTAGTGTGGTTGTATTATATCCGCTTTTGTATTTCTGATGATATGTTGTTCCACATAATTTTTTTAGTTTTAATTTTTCTAGTTTTCAATTGTTTATTTCCATCCTTGCACGAATTTAAAAATAATTTTGTGCTTGAGTCATCCCAACCAAATGCTACTTTATTTGGCTCATTAAATACAGGATCATTTTCTTTGATATACAGACATGGAGGAGGAATTGCCTTTCCTATAGGCCGAAAGTGCGTCTAAAGTGTGTAGAAGAAAGTGATACTTGTCGTCTCTACGCATGCGTCAAAGTATATAATTGTATATTTAATTGTTAATAAAATAAATAAATGTACTTTAATGAAATAAGAAATGATTATGAAAAATAAAATAATTAATATTAATATAGTATATAATTTATAATTTCTTACAGCTTAAAGCAAAATTGTGGACCAGGGTTTATTCGATCCAAAAGATAGATGAAAAAGTAAATATGTTTCAAAATATTTATAGTGTTTGCTAGACCGCATTCTGAGTTGCCGATTCTTCTTAAAATTAATAGTTATAATACCAAAATATATAGATACGTTTGTGAGTCGAAATATCCTAGTCGAAAATGGATAAAAATGGTCCTTCTTTGCAACTATCCTTATTTGATGATGTCAGAAGCGAGAAAACGCATCCCAAGAATTCTTGCGTTATACGTTCAAATAAAAAAAAATACTCCCACAAAATGATATTTGTAATCGATTCAATACACTTGTAAAATTGTTCGAACACTTTTTTTCTTTTATTCGAGTTATCAATAGTGGCAAAATTAACTTCATATGAAATTTATCTTTTTAACCTCTTTTCTCATCATTTTGTCAATGTTAATTTTACGACTACTCATTGATTGTTCGAGTAAAGAAAAATTATTCGGACAATTTTACAAGTGTGCCGAATCGATCAGATGTCACTTTGTATGTCTCTTTATTTGAACTACAACGCAAGAATTTTCGGTACGCGTTTTCTCATTTTTGACGTCATGAAACAACGACAATTGCAGCGAAGAATCAGAAGTCTTAAAAAATGATTTAAATGGGAAGAAACTTTTATCTTTTAAGGCTCTCAAAAATCACATTTCTGTTTTCTTTCACAATCCACCAGCTACCTCCTGCGATAGAAATGTACAAATGTTGTAAGAACATTGGTGAAGGATCATAGACAACAATGAAAATTACTTGGTTGATGGAGGATTTGTTTCTATTAAATGCAATAAGGTAAAATCTTAACGAAAAACACAAAAATCGGGACGAACTTTTTGACTGATTGAATACATGTATTAATACAGTTGTTAAATATATAAAGTAAAAGTGTATAAAGCATGTGGAATTAACTGTTCGATAGTATTTTGTACTTTGTAATACCTATCGCGTTTACACGTGTATTTAAGTGTACTTAAATTTATACATTTATATATTTAGTTCAATTCAAGCACTGCAAGCACCTGTGTATAATACTTTTCTTTATGTTAGCTTAAAATACTTTGTACATTAAAATACGAAAGCCTCTTATAATCTACGAATGAACTTTTAGTCCCGCGTTTCTTGTTTGGAAGGAATGATAAGCCCGTATAAAGTTTATAAAATAGACTCTTCATTTGCAGTAAAAAGAAGACAGATTTCACATGATAAATATTTCATATTTCTTCCGCATATAGAAAATCTGTTAGATTATTTTACAAATAATTGCACTTCGTTGTTAGAATGTATATCTTCTTTTGTAAACAATAATCATCTCTTTTATAACAATAACTTTGTGTTTTTATATATGTACTTAAGTGAATACTTAGTGAATATATATATATGGCGGTCGAAACAACCGGCGGTAAAAACAACGGCTGTTCGCACGCGTAAATTCGTGTTTGTTTCGTGAGTAATTTGTTCTTCAGCGTCCCTGCGGACCCCGGAGCGTTTACCATGTCACGTCGGGGTCACTACTTTTTAGCGAATGCCGCTATTAAGAAAAAGTTAGTGAGCGGAAGCAGTGCTGGGGTGTACGCAAATAAATGCGGAGTCTTTATAACTGCTCACACGAAACGCTGTATTTACAAGAAATTTAAAGCTCGCAGTGCAACACAAAAAAGAACAGGATTCTATAAACTAAAAACGCAACGTTAAACAAAATGGGGAACGCTGAACAAAGAAAACGGAACGCTAGGAGATCGGCTCGCTAGGTTGCCGTGGCGGCTCTCTCTCACTCGCGGGGAGAGGCACGGATAGGAAATCGCGCACAAGGGGCGCGACGGCGTCAACCGCGACGAAGGCCGTCGGAAAGGCTCTTGCACGACGGACGAGAGACACTC